TAAGAGTGTTTGCCTCATACACATAAGAACCTGTTAGATGCGTACACTTACACAGGAGGACTGAGAGGAGGACTGTGAGACTGACAGATAACAATGACAAAAGAAAACAGAAAAGTCCATGCAAGAACAGGAACAGAATGGACTAAATACTAACAAAAGTTACATGAGAGAAAGAGAAACAAAAGAAAGAGAAATTACAGTCAGTTCACCCCTTACTTAAAACTCAGAGCAGGGAAACAGGAAAATAAAGAACTGGTCTTAAAGCTGGTTGCGGTGGTGCATACCCGGAATCCCAGCACTCTGGAAGGCAGAGCAGGCGGATCTCATGAGTTCTGAGGCCAGCCTGGTCTACAAAGTCCAAGACAGCAAAGGCTACACAAAGAAACACTGTCTTGAGAAACAAAAACAAACAAACAAAAACTGTCAGCAACTATTTGCTGCAGTTATATACTTACATAAAGAAACCAAAAATAAGGCATTGATCCCTGATTCTGGCACTAGTTCAAGAATCTGGATCCTAGAATTAAGAGTAGGTAAGTAATTAGATGATACTCAGAGTGCTATTGGGTAGTGCCTGAGAGCACTGTAACAGAACAGTGAGTGCTAGTTCCTGTTACTATGTGTCTCTTTCCAGAGCAGACATCAGCAAAGACAGAGAAGCAGTTCAAAGGTTACTACATGCAACAGTATGTTACGTTCTTGCAGCTTTGGGTTTCTTTCTTTTTTCTCTTTTCCAGGGCTGGGCATGAACCCAAAGCCTTGTACATGCTAAGCAGCTGCTTTACCACTGAGTGTTATCCCTAGCCAACAAGGTGGTAAGTGCTTATAGAGGTACAGAGGATTATAGGAGCCCAGCTACTGCCTATTCTGAAAACAATAAATGGAGCTCAGACACTGAGCTGGTGGGAGGGACTAGACGCCATGTTTACTCAGGGCCTGCTCCACGGCTAAAGGCTTCCTACATGAGGGGCTGGATCGAGGCTCAGCCACTAAGGGCACTTACTGCTCTTGCAGATGACCCAATTTCAGCTGCAAGCACCCGTATCAGGTGGCTCACAACTGCCTGTAACCCAGCTCTGGGGGATCTGATACCCTCTCTTTTGGTTTCTGAGGGCACCTTCATATATGTGGCATATATGTGTGTGTGTATGTGTATGTATGTATATATATAGACACACACACATCCATGACTGTATGCAAACACATAAATAAAAAATATTTTTTAAAACTGAAAATGTGGGCTGGAGACATGGCTAAGCAGTTAAGAGCAGGTACTGCTCTCCAGAGGACCCAACTTCAATTCCCAGAGCCTATGTCAGATGGTTCCCAACCACCTGAACTTCATTCAAGAGGATCTGACACTTCCAGCCTGTGTAGGTGTGTACATGCAAACACACACACACACACACACACACACACACACACATAATTTAAAATAAAGAAATAATCTGAATTATCTACTAGTTGAAAATGTAATCTTATTATGAATAAATCAACACATAATCAGCTTTTGTTCAACAAAATCTATAACTTTAGCTGGATGCCATGGCACACACTTGAAATCTCAGGTCTTGGGTAACCAGAGCAGGCGGACCTCTGTGAATTCATGGCCAGCCTAGTCTACAGAATGAGTCCAGGACAGCCAAGGCTACACAGAGAAACCCTGTCTCAAAAAAGAAAACAAAAATTAGTTAACTTTAAAAAAAATGTGGGCAAAGAAATAAAGTTAATAAAACTTCAGTCTCTTAACTACCTTGGCAAGTTGACCCATACAGCTAACAAAGGAGGTGGAGGATGCTGGGAGCCCTTATCACCTTTCACTTTACTGCAACAATCAGGGTAAGATGTCAGTTTAAACTGTCTTGCAACCACATTGTCAAATGTTTGCAATGGAAATATATATACACAAATCAATGAAAAACATGGAACAATCTTTCTAGACAATCTTCAGGTTGTAATGCAATATAATACAGAGAAAAATGGTTTAGTGTCAGGGACACAACAAGAAAGTAACTTACAGAAAAGGAAAACTGCTTCTCTTGCTAGTCTTGGTTAAATCTAAATGATATATTGAGATCTAACTGAACTGCAACATGCTACCTCACACATGCATGTTAAACCAACATCTTAAGACTTTTCAAATATAACTAACTATCAGGCATGCTCAGAGTTTAAGGCTAACCTGGTCTACAAAGTCAGTTCCAGGGGACAGACAAGGGATACAGAGAAATTCTGTCTTAAACAAAACAAAACCCAAATAGAATGTTTAAGCAGCAACTACTGCCTTGAATGAGGTAAGCAAGCATAGATCACAGCATCAGACTTTTCTCCATTTTTGCCTCCTGAACCTACAACTCACTACCACAAGCCAGTTCTCAGGATTAATAGGACGAACAACCAAACAAGTAAGATTAGCCACTTATTGGAAAAACTTCCATTAAAACAAACTTCAGAAATGGGTATTATAGACTGGGCATGCCTTTAATCTCAGCACTCAGCAGATAGAGGCAGGCAAATCTCTGAAAGTCTGAGGCCAGCTTGGCCTACATAATGAGTACCAGGCCAGCCAGGAAGGCTATATAGTGAGAGCATGACACGCACACACCCAAAAAGGTATTATAAGAAACTAAGATGAGCTTGTTACGATGGCATACGTCTCTAATGCCAGCACTTGGAAAGCAGAAGCAGGTGAATTTCTGAGTTCATGGCCAACCTGTTCTACAAAGGAAGTTCCAGGCCAGCCACAGTTATAAAGTAAGACCCTGACTCAAAACAAAACAATAAAACCCCTTTAAAATACTTATTATAAAAAACAAACAAAAAGAAAAAAACCTCCTTAGCCAAGCATAGTGGTACATGCCTTTAATCCCAGCACTCAGGAGGCAGAGGCAGGTAGATCTCTGTGAGTCAGAGGCCAGCCTGGTCTACAGAGTAAGTTCTAGGACAGCCAGGGCTGTTACACAGAGAAACCTGTCTCCAAAAACCAAAAATAGATAGACAGACAGACAGACAGATAGATAGATATGGATAGACTGACAGACATATTTTAAAAAATGATTATTATAGCTCCCAGACTCAGGAGGCAGAGGCAAGTGAATCTCTGAGTTCTAGGACAGCCTGGTCTACAGAATGATTTCCAGGACAGCCAAAGCTACACACAGAAACCCTGTCTCAGTAAACAAAAGTAAATAAAGAAGGTTATTATAAAAGACTGAGGAGGAAGGGGGAGAAATTATATAACTAGATGGCACCTCAAAAATAAATAAATAAATAAATAAATAAATGAATAAATAAATAAATAGGTAAGTAAATCGCCCTTACAACTAAGGGCAGGGAAAAAAAAAAAAAAAGAGAAAAAGAAAAAAAAAGTGATAGCTCGCGACAGTTATCAGTCATCTGAGTCTACTCCTTATTTCTATTGGCCACATTTTTTTCCCAGTTGCTACTACACTGAACCACAATTGCCAGTTCCATATCTGAATTCTCAAATGGCTCTAAACAACCCACACACCAGTGCTCTCTTATGCCCAAGGTCAGAACACTGATGTGCAACAGGTGTGTGTTTGGCTTTGACTGAATTAATGAAGTAAGTGGGATATGAAAAATCCAGCTCTGTAATCCAAGCAATAGAGCAGCCAAGAAAGAAAGACTGCCACAAGTTTCAGGCCAACTGGAGATACAGAGTGAGACACTGTCTCAAAGAACTAACTAAAATCAATGAAATAAAATCAATGAAATATCTCCAACACAGCTAATCACATACTGATCAAATTCCTGCAACATCTCAAAATCCTGACAACTATACTTGCACGTAAGCTTACTGGCACATTTGCAGATTTTGTCACATAAGTGCAATTTATAAGAAAAACCCATACTGGAGACACTTTGCTTAATTGTTTTCACCTTAAGGGGAATGATTTCATCTTCTGCACAAATGTCACTGTTACAGAAGAAAACAGAGTTTACATAATCCCTTACTGAAAACTTAAACAATTCAAATTATCAACTTGTCAGTGCTTCTAGCTTCTCTTGCCCTGCCCACAATAGCTGCCTACCCACAGACAGTTTTAAGTCTCACAAAGAGCCCTCTTTGTAAAGAAAACAGTAGTCTTCTCTAAACGCATTGTAACCAGCAATTTTAGTCACTGGCTATTTTTTTCCAACTTCAATGGACACAGTAAGTACTTTAGTATTATTCTTCCTGTCTTCTTCCCATAAAGCAAAGATTTGTAAGCTAATTTGTAAGTAGGCAGAAAATGTGTCTTTATTATATCAATTAAAATAAGCTTAGCAAATCATGCTGTAGGAAAGCTACAGGAATCCTAGAGGAGGTCTCCAATTATAAGATATTCTCACACCAAAAGATAAGTTATAGTGCCAGATGTACACTCTCTAAAGATTCAGAGTTGTGTCTAAACTACGCTCCAAGTGAGAAGGAGAAGGCCCTAGAAACGAAGCCTTATCCTCCCATCTATTTGGTTCTTCCACAACCGAGAAACTGAACAGGCGGCCTAGGGACAGCTCTAGGAAGGTCCTTGGAGAGAGAAAGATCCCCGGAGAGATGAGCAAGTCCTAAAGGGGTCTGTCCAAGGCAGAGTCATTCATCTCTGCAAACCCAGACTAATAAACACGACCCGCAGAGCCTTGCAGACACGAGATGAACCCTGCCCTCCAGGACACCGGCCGGAGGTGGCGCGGAGCGTGATGACACCCAGACAAGATGACCTCCGCAAGGCAGTTCCGCGGAAACTGATTTCGTCTACGATTCTTTTTCACCTCCTGTTTATCTCAAGACGCTGCATACCGCGGGTGGCTCACTGTCTGCTCGCTGAATGTATAAATAACTGTGAAACAGTCCCGCCAGCGCGGGTCTGCAGGTGCACGTCCACCGCGGCTCCCGGGGCCGGGCAGACATCTGCCACTCCCCGGGGCAGACCCAGCCGGGAGGTCTCCCGCCGGCCCGGGCCGTGTCGTCCTCCCCGCCCCCGTGCGGCACTCACCGTTGGTGTAAGGAGACCCCGAGGCCGAGGCGGCCCCGTTCTGGGCCTGGAGGCCCGCTGCGGCGCCGCGGGCGGCCGGGATCCCGGGCTGGGCCATGGCGCCCGGGGTTCTCACGGTAGGACTGAGTCGTCGGGGTCGACCGCGGCGCCGAGCCGAGAGCTCCGAGGGCGCGGGAACTGAAGGCCGGAGAAGCGGAACGCGAGAGGGCGGCGCGTCAAGGCCGAGGCATGGCGTCTCGGTCTCTTCAGCCCGCCGGCGGCCGCGACCCGGCGCGGAGAGGCTCGGGAGTCAGGCCGGCGGGGCCGCGAACGCCGGGGCTCGGAGGCGGCAGCTGAACCCGGAGAGGAGGGAGGGCCTGGGCGGAGCCGCCGGCCGCGCAGGCACAGTGGGGACACGTGGCACTTCCGGTTCCGGCCGGAGGCCGCGGCCGAGCTCCCTGTCCCGGGGGAGCTGCCCCGACGCCACCTGACACTCCCGTGTCCCGGCCCGCAGGACCGTGCAGACTCGCCTGCCACGTCACTGAGTCCCGCCGCCCGCCGGAAGTGGCATGTGTCACCGCTACGAAAATTCCCGGCGCGGGGAGCGTCACCTTCCTGGCAGATCGGGGAGCGGAGGGCGGTGGGGACTTTTAGAGTCGCTCTGGTGGAGTAGGACAGACCTCGGGCCCCTCTTCCGAGAATCTCTGAGGATTACCTGAGGCCGCAGATGTCGTCACCTGCTGTCGAGGCCCAGCCACCGTTTGTGGCCCAGCCGGTGCTCTGCCAGGTGTAGAACGCGAGGAGGTCTTAAAGAGAGATGTTAAAGTGCGTGTGTTTGTCAAGGTGTCGGCGGGCGGGAGGTGGTAGCCGTCGAAGGCCGAGGCGGGAGTGTTGTTTGTAAGTTCGAGAGCGGCCTAGCCAGGTCAGCCGGGGCTGGAGTGAAAATCCTGGGTCCAGGGGAAAATATGTGATGACGCAGAGGAGGAAGACTTTTCTATTCAACTGGAGGATTCAGAGGTCGTTGTAATCTTGAGATTAACTTGTTCATAGTTGGGTCACTTCGAAGTACACTCACGGACACGGATCGGCATTCCCCCTTCTCCTCTCCCAGTGCTGACGATGGCACCCAATGTCCCCCTGAGCTACACAGCTTGGAACGGCAAATATTTAGCTAACACAGAGGCGCAGGGTTAAACAACGTACTGAAATGGTAACTTTAAACCAGAAGTGGTGTTGTACTCCTGTAGTTCTGGATGCTGCAACAAGGTGAGGCAGGAAGAGCTTGGATTCAAGACCTGTCGGGGCAAATTAACAGGATTCAGTTTCTAAAAAAAAAAGAATGTAGGCTTGTAGGCTGCTGGGAGAAAGTTTGCCTAACCTTGTACGAAGAAGCCCTGAGTTCAGAAATTTAAAGGCAGTTTTAATTCCTCCTCTGAGAGTTTACGTTAAGGTAGACAATTCAAACTTCCTTCTGGGGCGAGTGGTTTGTGGGATTCTTTTATTTTTTTTCCTTTAGTTTTTTTTTTTTTTTTTTTTAAATCCCAAAATAGACTTTTTGACTTTTAAGGCAAAGGAGAAGTAGAAACTGGTTGGTTACACAACATAATTACTGATATCAATAGTGATCTCAGCTACCTTCGTTCTACTTTGGTTTTTCCTGCTCCAAGCAGATGACAAAGTCCTTCACAGATATGTACTGCTGATTAAAATGTGTTATGCCATGGGTTTCACAACGTCAGGGGAAAGTACATCTTACCTAATTCATTTACCATCTAATGCCTGCTATGAAGTACCACATAGAAAAAGAGCACAATCTAAAACTATTGTCGGACAACCAAAAAGCAAAGAGTAACATATAAAAATCTATTCTAACCTTGATTTTATTATCATTTGCCTCAGAACCATACTAAAATACACTTGTTGTGAGTGGAATTTAACAATAAATTTTTTTAAAAAATGGTTGTTTTAACATTTATTTTCTGTATGTGTGAGTGCCTACACCCTGTGCATGCGATGCCCACAGAGACCAGAAGAGGGCATTTGTAGCCGGTATTTGCCACCTTTCTCCACCCTTATTAGCCCCCTAACACTAGATAGAGAAAAAAGGATAGAGGGGAAGGGGGTAGCACTATCAGACTGCTTCTTGCTGATTAGGAGCATCCAGTCCCTTGGGGCAAACTTGATCTTCGCTGTCAGGATATCTAATTTCTTATCTCTTTGTTTCTCTTTGCACATGACTACTTCCTTAATCAGCATATAACCACCAGCCAGCCAACAGCAGCAACCCCGCCTCTCAGGGTCCTAGCATTTATATACCCTCAGAAAAGTTTCCAGATTTCTAAATGTCACACCCTCACAGAAATTATCTGCAGCTGGCAAAATCACGCCCTTGCCAGAGCACAAGGCAAATCATAGTCAGCTGCCGTGAAGCAGCCTCTTATCTCCACACACATATTCCCATAACATTTCTGTGTTTTTTAAAGAAACCTAAATTCTCACTATAGGCATTACATCCGCTGACGCTGGAGCTGAACTTCAGCAATTGTGAACTCTCTGATGTGGGAGATGGAGAAGGAAACCTGGTCCTCTGTGCCAGCACAGCTAGTGCCCTTCACTGCTGAGTCATCGCTCCATTCCCCCACCCCTTATTACAAGATTCAGATAGGCTTTTTTAGGATGAAGATGATACTTTTAACCAAACTTTAATCACCTAAGAACATCTATAATAAAAATCCAAATTAAATATCTAAGAATAGTAAAAACAAACTAATAAAACAACAACAACAAAAACCAAGAACATAAGCTTTGCTCTAAGGAGGAACTAGAACCCGGAGAGAAACTGCTGAAGCTTTATGAGGTTAGAAAAAAAATGGTCAGTTTTCAATATTTAGGCATGGTTTCCAGCTTCTGTTGGTTTAATCCTCTCTTTACATTCAATTCCTCTAGAATAATATTGGTTTGTTGACCTTGGCACAGTGGTTTGATTTGGTTAAATCAGTCTTTCTTTGTACTTTGTCTTGTTTAAGCAATATCCATGTGTTCAGATTTTAAAAGTAAATAACCTCACTGGTCAAATCAGATAAATAACTATAAATAGTTTACTAATAAGTAAGCAATTTTGTTCCAACCCTAAATTTCTCTGATGCTATTATTAATCCCCAAACTATGGGTAAATCTCTGAATGCTTTTCATATTTTCAATTAGTCAACTTTAAGGTACTGAGAAGAGGTCAAATGTGCTATGCACATCTGTAATCCCAGCATTTGGGAGAGGCAGGCAGGTCTCTGTGAATTTGAAGCCAGCCTGCTCTACATAGTTCCAGAACAGCCAGAACTATGTAGACCCTGTCTAAAAAAAAAAAAAAAAAAATTCACTCTCTTTGTAGTTCATGCAGAATGATTTCAGTTATAGACATTTATTTGAACAAGTTTCATTCTCTGAAGCTCACTTGCCGCTCCATTTTAGTAACAGTTCCTTTGCCCTAATTTGCCTGTACCAGGACACCTGCTGGCATGTGATGTCAGTTGTCGTGAAGCACCAAGTAGAGTCATCACACACAGCAAGTCAGGGAGCTGCCTTGCTTTTGGGGGCTCATGGTTCCCAACCTTCCCACTGCAGCGACCCTTCAATACAGTTCCTCATGTTGTGGCGACCCCAACCATAAAATCATTTTCAGTGCTCTGAAAGATAACTAATTTTTCTACTGTTCTGAACCATTATGTAAAAGTCTGTGTTTCCCAATGGTGAGCCCCATGAAAGAGTTCTTCAACACCTCACCCCAGGACGTGACCCACAGGTTGAGAACCACTGAGCTAAAATGAATAATTTTTTTTTTTAATCTAGCTGTAGTGAGAATAACTAATAGGAGGGGAAAGACTAGAATTGCTTTACCTGAGAACCAAAAAAGGCAGTGTGCCCCACTGTACCTTGTGCAGAACAGAGATGGAAATGCATTAACCCCTGGGCTTTGCTATTTCTTTATTCCTGCTAACCACATGAAACCTTGTTTTTTTCACAACATATATATTTTTCCCTCATATTTTTCCTCAACTTGACTCCCTGTTTCTCTCTTCCTGTTGACCCAACCCAGGCCCTGGTTACCTCTCACCTACCTGACTGCAGCTGCCTCATTGCCAAACTAATCTCAAACCTCAAGCTTTCAGTTTTGACTTAATATAACCTGTGTACTGTTGCCATGTGAAACCTCCCCAAACACAGTCCTAACTATGCTTTTCTTGTTTTGCTCAAAACCTCTAAGATGTTTTTGGTTTTTTTGAGAAAGTGCCTCTCTATGTAGTTCTGGTTCTTTGGAACTTGCTGTGAAGACGGAGCTGGCCTTGGATTCAGATAGCCTCTGATTCCCAAATGCTGGGACCAAAGGAATGGTCTGCCATGCCTGGCTAAAACCTCTTAAGAGTTTGAGAGTTGAGGTTCTCCAAGCCTCGGGCTAGGTTTTTTTTTTTTTTTGGGGGGGGGGGGGGGGGGGAGAGTGGGGAGATTTTGTTTGGTTTGGTTTTTCTTATAGTTTTGGTTGTGAGCCTAGCAACAGCTGAGCCATCTCTCCAGCCCTGGTTTGGTATTTCAAGACAGGGTTTCTCTGTGTATCCCTGGCTGTCCTGAAACTAGCTCTGTAGACTAGACTGGCCTCAGACCCAGAAATCTGCTTGCCCCTGCCTCAGCCTCCCAAATGCTGGGATTAAAGGTATGCACCTGGTAAAGGTACCCTCCTGGTACCGCAGGCTAGTTGAATGTAGTTAAACAGTTGCTGTATTTACTGCTTTTTGTATGCTGTTCTGTCTGGTTCTACACAGGGTCTCATGTGGTCCTGGCTGTCCTCAGACTTGCTGTACATTCATTCGAGGCCATCTGAACTCCTGACTGTCCTGTCTCCTCCTCCCAGCTGTGCTTACAAGGCTGCACCACCATACTTGTCAATGGTTATTGTTTCTTCATAATATCGGTTGCTTCTGGATATTAGTCTCAATTCTACAGAAGCAGGAACCGAAAGCTGAAGAGACCTGTACCCATGGAACTCGTGTGGACAGATCAAGTGTTGTGTTTTACAACACTGCCCATGCTAGTAATATTAAAGTTCTTAAAAAAAATGATCTTAATTTCTATTTTTCTGTTCTTTCAAATTTTAAATAATAAAAATGTCTTCCTTCTTTCTGTGTGGAAGAATGGTAAGCATGCCATGGTGCACCTGGGGAAGTCAGATGACAACTTTCTCAGGAGTTGGTTCTCTTTATTCAATCTGTAGGTTCTAGGGATTGAACTCCAGTTGTCAGCCTTGATGGCAGATGTCTTAACCTGCTGAGCCATCTCACTGGCCTTCCCTCAAAAAGATTGGGGGATTTGGGGATGGGGATATGGCTCAGTCAGTAAAATGCTTGCCTTGAAAGATGTGGACCTGAGTTTGATCCCCAAAACCATGTTAAAAAAAGAATCCCAGCACAAAAGTTCATGCCTATGCCAATAGCAGTGCTGGCTGGTGAGGATCTGGCAGGATCCCTGGAGCTGGCCAGCCAGAGTCTACCTAATCTGTGAACTCCAGATTTAGGGGCTGCTGGCTAATTTATGTCAACTTGACACAAGCTAAAGGCCTTTTAGAAGAGGAACCCTCACAGGTGGATCTATGAGTTCAAGGCCAGCCTGGTCTACATAGTGAGTTCCAGAACAGCCAGGAAACCCTGTCTTGAAAGAAAAGGGAACCTCAGTTGAGAAAAGGCGCCCCCCTATCAGATTGACGTGTGGTACATTTTCTTGATGATGTGGGAAGGGCCAACTTATTGTGGGTGTTGCCATTCCTGGGCAGGTGGTACCAGGATATAGAAAAAGTGGGTTGGGCAAGACAGTAAGCAGCACTCCCCCATGGCCTCTGCATCAGCTCCTGCCATTGAGTTCCTGCCCTGATTCCCTCAGTGATGGACTATGATCCAGGCATGTAAGCTGAAATCAACCCTTTCCTCCCCATGTTGCTTTGGTCATGTGTTTCATCACAGCAATAGAAAGCCTAAGACAATGCGAGACTCTGAATCAGTAAGGTGAGGGAGATGTCTCAACAGTTTTCAGTGTTTCCTCCTTCAGCAAGAAGACTAGAATTTGGGGACTGGAGGGATGGCTCAAATGTCAAGAGCTCTTAACTGCTTTTGTGGAGGATTGGGTTCAATTTCCACCACCTGCATAGTGGCTCAACCTTTTGTAAGTCCAGTTCCAGGGAACCCAACACTTCTAACTTCTTGGGCTTCTGTATGCACACAGTGCACATTTATACACTTAGGCATAGTGTGTGTGTGTGTGTGTGTGTGTGTGTGTGTGTGTGTGTGTGTTCTGCTTTTAAAAAGAGGACCTGTAGCCAAGCAGTGGCACTGCATGCATTCAATCCCCCAGCACTGGGGAGGCAGAGCCAGAGGCAGGCAGATCTTTGAGTTGGAGGCCAGCCTGGTCTACAAAGTCAGTTCCAGGAAAGATGGGACTACACAAAGAAACCCTGTCTGGAAACACTCTCTCTCTCTCTCACACACACACACACACATGCACGCACGCACGTGTAGGAGACATGAATTTGGTTCTTGAACGAATATAAATGTGTGTGCATGGAGTTTCAGAAGGTAGAAACAGGGGATCCCCGGGGAGACTACTATTTCAGCAAAGTCCAGGTCGATAAAGAGACCCTGCTTTAGCCTGATGCTGTTGCACACCTGTAATCCCAGCACTTGAGAGGCCGGGCCCCGGCAGATCTCTGCGAGTTCAAGGCCAGTGTGGTCTACAGAATGTGTTCCAGGACAGCCAGGGCTACAGGAAGGAAGGAAGGAAGGAAGGAAGGAAGGAAGGAAGGAAGGAAGGAAGGAAGGAAAGAAAAACAACAACAAAACGGTAGAGAGAGATCTTCAAAGAGTAACTCAGGATAATTTCTGATAGTCAAATTGGAGCCTGCTAATGTGCGCGCCCACACACATGTGAAGACAGACAGGACGCGGGCATGGTGGTGCTCACCTTTAATTCCAGCACAATGGAGGTAGAGCAAGGCAGATTGCTGTGAGTTCACAGCCAGCCTGGTCTACAGAGCGAGTTCAGGACAGCTAAGGCTACACAGAGAAACCCTGTCTCGAAAAACCAAAACAACCAACCATCCAAAAAAAAAAGAGAGAGAGAGAAAGAGAAAGAAAGAAAGAGAAAGAAGGAAGGAAGGAAAGAAAGGAAAGAGAGAGAAAGAAAGAAAGAAAGAAAGAAAGAAAGAAAGAAAGAAAGAAAGAAAGAAAGAAAGAAAGAAAGAAAGAAAAGATGCCAAGGACAATTTTCTCATATGTCTCTTGAGGTTGGTGTGAAGAGGCCCGGAACTGGCCCACAAGGATTGGTGGCGAGGCTGCAAGGAGGCGGAACTGAGGGCGAGCGGCGCCAGGGTCCTGCGGACTGTCACTGGCGAGGCACTCGCCGACCCGGAAGGAGCTGAGGAGAGCCGGTGCCCTGGCAGCCATAGCGCTTTGCAGAGCCGGCTTGGAGCGTGTAGGGCGGGCGCGGAACAGGGAGTTGCGTTCTCTGGAGTCGCAGGTGAGTGGCAGTGCCCTCCCCGGGGGGAAAAGTGCTGGCGACAGCTGTAGCTCTCCAGAAGGCGCACTGTTTAGGCTGTACACTCGTCCAGAACCCTCGTCCCTGCTCCTTTGCGAATGGGGAGCCTTTTTTTTTTTTTTCTTTTTTCTTTTTACCCCGGTGCTAGGGACTACAAGTCCGGTCCGTGCCTACGGAGACCATGCTGGTGGCCCTTGGTGTAGGACAAGGGTTGTCACACACGCAATTATTTTAGGAAAGAGTGACAAGACCACACACGAGCCTCTTTCCTTCCACTGGGCCTCAGTTTCCTCACTTGGTAAGATGAAGGCTTCAGGGGTCATTGACAGCTGGAGAGGCTGGGACGCTCTGCGTTGTCCCTATTAGTGTGGGGACCAACTGAGCTTCATTCTCAGTAGTTATCATCTTGCCATGCTCAAGCCTAGTTGAGTGGAGGGGACAGATACCAGGCGGGGAAAGTCAAGATTTTCCAACAAGATAAAAATTTGTTTTGAAACATCCAGGTGTGGCCTTGTTAGCTGAAGAAATCAAATTCAGGAGTTTAACGTATTGGAATGAAGAAAATCAAACCTACTGGCTCGTATTTGAACATTCTTACATTAAGCTCTATGTGGTATCTTACCTTGAATATTTGTGTCCCATGTTAAAATATTGGTCAGAGTACTTGCACTGAAACAGATGAAAGAAGGAAGGTACCACTCGCACAACACTGCAGTTTTCGAAGGAAGACAGTCCTGTTGTCTCTGTTTTACAGATGACCAGGAAGGGTGGCTTTACAGTGTGCGGTGGTGGGTGGTGTCAGTAAAGCAGGGAGGGCAACCTGTGGCTACCAGGGTACCTTGTAGTGGATTTGTGTTTGTGACCAAAATATTTTGACCTTTAAAAAATTTATGAACTTAGGCAGGCACCCTGACCCTATAATTCCACCTACGCAAGAGGGCAGGGGCATCATCTGAGCCAGGACTGCCTGGGTGACATACCCAAGATCCTATCTCAAGAGAAAAAGTGCCCCCCCCCCATGTTAAGATATTCCCTAGGCATTTGTGAGTTTACAAAAATGGAAAGTCTCCCCATTGTAAAAATGTTAGAAAAGTTATTGTGATTTTGAAAGTTTGCAGTTTAGATAAAGTGCAATCTAACCTTCCTTTGCCTTGTCCTATTGTGCTAGAGTGGAAATGCAAGCAGGACTTGCCACAAAGGAGCAGCCTATCAGAAATGGAAATCACTGCCACCTCATTCAGAGCTGACAATCTAGAGTGCTATAGTAGTGATTCACCGAGTATCTCCTCCCCTCTCTTAAGTACACAGTTGGCTGAAATTCACTTAAATTACTTTTACGATGAAGTTAAAGTTCCTCATTTGTATGTAGTTTTTAGAAAAAAGTTTGGTTGTTGTTTCAAAATCTTTTATGGCGTGTAATATTGTGAGTGTCTGTGTTAGAAGTCAGACTAGGGAGCACATGTCGAAGTCGGAGAACATATTGAGGGAACTGAATGCTTTCCACCATGTGGGCTTCTGAAATTAAACTCCGGTTATCAGGCTTGGAGATGAGCACCTTTACCTAATGAACCCTCTCTCTGTGTTTTGAGGATGGAATTTGTTATCAGGTATGCCTGTTTGCATTGTCTTAGTCCACTAGAGGCAAGTCCAAGTTTAGTCAATACTCAGTCTCACAACATTCTTTTTGTTGTGGAGACTAGATCTTGTTATATAGCCAGGCTGGCCTTTTTGAGATCCTCCCCCATCAGCCTCTCAAGTTCTCTCTGTTGTTGTTGTTTTCTTCTTCTTCCTCTTCCTCTCTCTCCCTCTCTCCCTCCCCCTCCCTTCCTTCTTTCCTTTTTATACTAGCCTTTTGACAGAGGTTCTTTTTTTCTCTCTTTTTTTCACTTTTTTTTGTCTTTTTTGAGACAGGGCACAGCTGTCCTGAACTCACTTTATAGACCAGGCTGACCTTGAATTCACAGAGCTCTGCCTGCTTCTGCCTCTCGTGCTGGGATTGAAGGCTACCTAGCCCAGCTCAACTTGGTCAAGCAGTTTTACCTGGTAGCACAGGCTGACCTTGAACTCACAGAGCTCTGCCTGCTTCTGCCTCTCGTGCTGGGATTGAAGGCTACCTAGCCCAGCTCAACTTGATCAAGCAGTTTTACCTGGTAGCACAGGCTGGCCTTGAACTTGATATGTAACTGAGGAGGATTTGAACTTTGGGTTTCCTCTCTGCTTCCCAAGCACTAAGATTACAGACCTGTGTGCTGTCCCATGCCTACTTTATGTGCTGTTGGGGATCAAACTGTGCAAGCTAGGTAGGCAAGCACTCTCCTAACTGAGCTTCATCTCCAGCCAGGCCTTTGTATTTCTAGTGGCAAGTTAGATTACAGATAGCATCCTATCTAAATGTCTTATATGCCATGTTGAGCATGTAGAGACCAGAGTCCAGCCTGTGGAAGTCAGTTTTCTCCTTTGACTATGTTCTAGGGATCAAACTCTGTTCTGCTTCTCTGCCAACAAGTTGTCTTACCCACTGAGCCATCTTGCTGACCCTTCCTTGCTATTTTTTTTAATTAGTTATTTTAAGTTAGCATACAAAGTAATGGGTTTTATTGTGACTGTTTTATTTTGTTTTTGTTTTTGTTTTTCGAGACAGGGTTTCTATTTGTGGCCTTGGCTGTCCTGGACTCGCTTTGTAGACCAGACTGGCCTCGAACCCACAGAGATCCACCTGCCTCTGCCTCCCTGAGTGCTGGGATTACAGGCCTGTGCCACCACAGCCCAGCTTATTGTGACTTTTTTAAAGTTTTATTTTATTTTATATGTATGGGTGTTTAACCTTCATGTATGTATATGTACTGCATGCATTACTGATGCTTGTGGACCAAAAGAGGCCATCAGTTCCCCTGGAACTGGAGTTACAGATGTTGTGAGCCACCATGTGGGTACTGGGAACTGAGGCTGGGTCAGCAGGAATAAGAGGTCTTAACCACTGAGCTGTCTCTCCAGCCCCTATTTTAGTATTTTCATACTCATGTATTATTGTGCCTTGCTTGTGTTTTCTGTGCTGGTGTTAGTCATCATTGTTGTCTGTTGGAGACAGACTCTCATTAGTCCAAGTTGGCCTAAACTCACTATGATCTTGTCACATCACAAATGTTGGAGTTACAAATTACAATCAAGTACACCATACCTAAATCTTCCTTCCCCTTATCATTTTGTAGCCAGGAGCAGTGGCGCACACCTTTAACCCTAGCACTGGGGAGGCAGGAGCAGGCAGATCTCTTGTGAGTTCAAAGCCAGCATGGTCTACATAGTGAATTCCAGGCCAGTCAGGACTACTCAGTTACCCTGTCTCAATAAAAATAAAAAAAGAATCAAATCATGATGTAGTTCCTGCTGGTCTCAAACCAGAAATCCTTCTGCCTTAGTCTTAGCCTAGAGCTGTGATCAGGTGTGTGCCACACTGGTTGGTTTGTAGTGAAATTTCTGTATCTGGGTTTGCAGGACACTGTCCTAGTACTTTTTATGGTAGCAGTCAGTGACAGTGGGCTGGTGAGTAGCTCCTGAGGTAAAAGTGCTTGCTGCACAAGCCTGGCAACCTGAGTTCAAGCCCCAGACCCACAGAGCTATCCTCTAACCTCCACACAGGTGTCATGGCACACCTCATATACACACCCACACGATAGTAAGTCAGTAGATTTTTAAATGAAAATACTATTATTTTTTTCATGTTAAAAGTTATTAATATTAAGTTGGGCATGGTGGCATATGCTTACAACCCCAGTATTTGGGAGATGAAGGAAGAACCAGCCTGAGCTACATGATAATTTGTCCTAAGGAAAACAACCGAAAAAATTCAAGCATAAGGATTCTGTTTCCTTATGAGTTTTAGCATAAAATGTTCATTTAAGGTTTTTAAATTTGCTTTTATTTTGAATGATAGCTTTGTTGAACTAGACTTGGCATACCATAACATTCACCCTTTTACAGTGCTCAGAGTGTTCTCAATATAGACGCAATGTTACACAACCTTGACCACTAATTCCAGAACATTTTTCCTCACCTCTGAAAGCAGCCCAGCCCCCATTAGCAGTGGCCTGGCCTCCTATCCCCCTCTGACAGCACTAATCTGCTTGCTCTCAGATTTGCCTGCATGGACACTTCACACACAGAATTCTCCATACAAGTTCAACGGGACAGTTTTAAGCAGTGATTTGTAACCTGAGTTCTGTTTGTTGCGCTGATTTTCCTGTTACCTGAGCAGATTGCTTTTTAATCTGCAGAGCTTTTTCCTGTTTGGTATTCATGCAATAAATAAATCTGCTGACGTGGTGTGTTTCCTTGTCAGTGACCTTTGCTCTTCACATGTCTCTGTGATGTGTCCCTGGGTTGTGTAACCTGTTCTCAGGGCTCAGGTGTCTGTTTGTAGCTAAATGACTTTTATTCTTCGTTGGGTGTTTTTATTTTTACTTCTACTTGAAAAACAAAAACAAATACCTAATTCAGTTTTAATAATTCCTGGCTTGTTTTGAGGGCTTAGTAAATTGTAATTTTTATAGAACTATAAATATCTGTCTTCTCAAGTAGAGTTTCTCTGTGTGACTAGATCATTTTTCTGTTATAAATTTTATAACAGCAGATTGGTCCTACCCTTTTCCTTCAAGGCTTACCATGTTCCGCTCGCCACCATTTCTTGTAGCTCTCCCTAACAAACCATCCCAGGAAAGACTTTGCCTCTTGACTCAGTGCTGCTTTTATAGCAGTGCCCTGTGCTCTTTTAGCTGAGTCTACGACCTGTCACGTGGACAGTGCACCTCCTCTTCCTGTACCTTTCACCCCAATGTCTCCTTATCTTTCCATGCTGGTGCCCGACCTTAGAGCTGCCACCACCCAGACACAAACTTCTTTGAACCCTGCTCTTCCATTCTGAAGCACGTGGTCTGCTTCACTTCTCTCCCTTTTTACTAGAGCCACAATTGCTTTCTTTTGGTTTC